CAGGGGTCCCCTGTATAGGTTGAGCAGAAGTGGCCCTGTCTCTTATACACATCTAGATGTGTATAAGAGACAGCACACACACACACACACTTTAAGAACACTCCGCCATATGACTGTTAATGCCCTAATTATCGAGTGTGAGAGAGACCCCAAGAGCACGAACCAGACTCTGTACAGGCATTAGACAGTGAGCCTAAGACTCCTGCAGTTCTATCATAAACCTCTTCAATCATTCAATGTGCATTTGAAGATGCTGTGGAATTCTGAATACGGGATCTCAAATGTGAAAGCTGCATCCCGAACCAATTGCCGAATAGGTTATGCCTGTAGGTAGATGAGAGTAACATGTCGTACGGTGCAGTAAGCCCATCTCCTGCTCAGAATCGATCAGACAGGAAAGAGCATGGCAGGATGAGAATTGCTATCAGGTGCTTGCCATGGCGATCGGCAGCCTTGAGACATGTAGGTTTGAAGGAGAGATTGTGCTCAGATTCCTGACATGAACTGCTGAGCACTGCTGCAGGAAAACTCACCTGCAACTTTTGCCTGAGATCTTCTATTTCCCTCGCCTGCCTTTTCAGCAAGGCTGCATCAGTCATCACCTGGAGAGACAATCATACCAATTGGTAAGTCAACAACCAAGAAACTGCAAAACAAACATCTGAAAGGACTAGCAGCTAAGGCCAATAAACGAAACCCAAACGACTGTTACAATGATGTATCATTTCTTCCAGTTGTGCCATACAAGGGAGTGAGGTCTAACAAGAACTAACCGCAAGGAAACGACAGATAAAGAGCGGTGTCCTGGAAGGAGAACAAGGATATAGAGCAGGTCAGCAAGGTTTCAGATTTTGTGCAAAACCAAAATGTCAAAGACAAAGACCAGCTCTACGCTGCTGAGGTGGTTAGGGGGGCGGTCCTCTGGGCGATATGGATGCTCCGGAATGAAAGGATCCGACAAGGCAGGGAGGTCACTATGTAGGGGGTGACGAGTTGAGCATTGGAGAATTTACGAGTGGCCCTCGTACCGAAGGCGTAAACGTAAGGCAGGAAATGATGATAGCAAGTATTGGAGGGTATGGAGGGCCTATACAAGGTGGGTCAAGAAGGATCCGACGACATGCAATCTGGTCTTCAGTTCAATTCTGCAAAAGCATGGGTCAATGTGGACGAATAAGGGACAAATTGGGTCGAGGTTGCCGTGTACCATATATTAGCGATAGATGTAGGTGAATTAGGGGCCGTGTACGTTGAATACGGGGGGGAAGGAAAGGGGATCGGGCCACCCCTATTAGTGAAGAATGGGTTGAGGGGAAGGGGGAGGTGGGGGGGGGGAGGACAAGCATTGAGAAAAGCTAGGAGATGGGAAGCAAAGGCCAGAGCTAAGGGGCAACATTTCATGGGAAGGCAAAGTGATCTTAGATTGAAAAGGGACTGATTAGGCAAGTAAAAATCTGTTAGTCTTGGTTTCTGAGTGATGGGAGATCATGGAGCTGGAGGGATAATAAGGGTGCAGGTTTCGACCCCATTGGCAGCAGAGGCGCCCAAGTATAATAGTGGGGAGACATTTGGAGATACGAGTGTGTATTAGAGCTGATAATGTGCTGGGATGATGAGTGTGGTCTTAATGGGAGACCCTGAGCCTGGAGGCACAGCCTGGTGGCTCTAACCAGGTCACCCAGGATGCATAGTGTGTGACTGGGTACCAGGCAGAGGTTTCCTGCCACTATGCGAGCCCCGGGTGGGATTATGCAGGCTCCGCCACCGGGCTGCCCCCGCAGCCCCCCATGCACAGCGTCTACGACGACAGGGGTATGGGGTTGTGCTGGGCTTCTTCTCTACCTTGAACTCTGTTACATGCTTGCCCGTGATAAGCAACCAGGCTGCCGCCCCCCAGAATAGATGGGGCATTGTCTGTTGGCACTGTTGGGAGGTGGGGGGTGGGGGGGGGAGGGAACAGAAAGCCAAGACTAAGGAGGGGTACACATACATTTTCCTCCCGATCTATAATCAAGGGTTCAAAATTAAAATCCTGTTCTATACAGAGAGGGTAAGGGCTGTGATTGGGGAAGGAGGCACGAACAGGGGCATGAGGAGACATGTGGAAAAGGTGGTAGGCAAACAGGGCACATGACTGTTATCACTTTCCTGCTTTCCCGCCAACGTTAGACCTAGATTGCAGCTTCAAGTGAGAATTGGGAACCTAGACGCTCCACGTGCGAGGAAAAGAAGCAAATATCCCATGGGATTCGGACATGTTGTAAGAAGCATAATGATGGGACACAGACCTCATTAACTTGTGCGCAGTTGGTCACCTTCTTGGCACGGCTCGCAAATTGCAATGTTGTCTTTGTCTCTTCTACATGCATCTGCAGCACCAGATTTGGCATGGCACATACAATGACTCATAATCAAACCATGTCCGCAGTTCAAAAAAGGAAAATGTCACCTCATTGATTTTAACAGCCGTAATCCTCCCACACACTAGCGTACCCCCTTTTGTTGCCGCATGAAGATATAAAAACGAATGCCAAAAAAAAAGGACACCAGGGCCAAGATGGGAAGTAGGACAAGCATAGAGATGCAAATGTTCAGGAAAAGTAGCTTGGGACGAGGACAAGGAAAATGGCAACGAAAAGGAAAAGGAGGGGGAGAAGGAGAAGGAGAAGAGGTGGAGGAGCACAAACAAGACAGTTCAAGGAGCAGGGAGACATGGAGGAGAAGAAGGCAGGAGCTATGAGGCAGGCAAGGAGGATGACCACATTGCAAGAAACAAGGAGGAATACGGCAACATAAGCTTCAACACAGAGGAAATCAGGAGGGAGAACGACAAGAAGAGCAATGGGGAGGAAAAGGAGAAGCGGTGGAGGAGCACAAACAAGACAGTTCAAAGAGCAGGGAGACATGACGGAGAAGAAGGTAGGAGCTATGAGGCGGACAAGGGTGACGACCACATTGCAAGAAACCAGGAGGAATACAGCAACATAAGCTTCAACACAGAGGAAATCCGGAGGCAGAACGACGGGAAGAGCAGTGGGGAGGAAAGGGATGACCAGCAGCAACATAAGCTTCAACACAGAGGAAATCCGGAGGCAGAACAAAAATCAATAATGATTACAGGCTGCTGGGATGACCAGCAGGAAGGAATAGGGAATAGGAGAAGGGGGGAGAGGAGTAAAGATAGGAGGAAGAGGAGAGGGATAAGGATTGAAGAGAAGAAAGAGAAGGTGGAGTATGAGAGGGCTGGGCAGAGTGAACGGTAAGAGGAAAGAAGAAGTTTTACTCATAAAACAGAAACAATCCCCTCCCTCATTCTCTCCCTTCTCCTTGTCCATTTGGCTGGCGCCAATTGCCACACTGACAGACTGCTGCCCGTTGCAGCCTTTCCCTTCACACCGTGAGGTGCTCCTTTGCAGTGTGCTGCATCACTGTACCATTCCTTGTGCTTACGTCTAGTGCAGGGTGCTGTGTCACTGCAGGCTTGTGTGTACTGCATATGCTAAAAGGGTGTTTGTAGTATATCTACTCGGTACGAACAGGTGCATCCAGGCAGGTAAGGTTTTGTTTCTTTCAATTCAATGGGTAGCAGAGGGTAAAGTCCTATTCTGTCCAGGTACAGCTGGATGTTTTTCTTTGAGCCTCGCGTGGGTATGGGCAAGGACAAGACAATACTCCAAATTTTCCGTCCGTACAGGTGGACTAAAACATCCCCGCTCAATTCAGGTAGGTATGGGTATGAACTAGCCATTGCGGCTGGTTGCGAGTAGAGTGTACTTTGATCTCACAAATGTGCTCAATACTGCAATGAACCCAGTCAGGAGGAAAGCTCAACAATATCGAAGTACAGAATGTCTCAGCGCAGTTTCAATGTCTCCAACCGTACAAGTAATCAAGAATCCAATTTCAAGTAACCACAGAAGAGAGTGATGAGAGGGAGATTAGACTGAGAGGGTGGAAGAGAAAGTACCCATGAGCTTCAGCAGATAGATCTCCCTCTCGTCCCACTCCTCCTTCGGGCATCTCCTACTCGCCACATCACCAGACAGTTTCCTCTGACACACTCGCATCGAACAGATCTCAACATGGCGCACACGGCGCAGACTCCTTCTGAAGACAACAGCAGAGCGCAATGTTGACACGATCGTGAACAGGTAAGCTCTCCTTTCTTCACTCGACCAATCTCACAGCCCTGATCCTCCTCCTCCTCGCCAATATCCCATCAATGTTGTAGACAGTGTGGCGAGAGCCACGTCAGCATAATCAAGAAGAGAGATGGCGCCGAAGACAGAAGATGGCGCCAGCGCAGTAGCAGTCTCGCGTCGCCGTCCAATACCAAGCCAGCGTCCAGCCGGCGTCCAGCCAGCATCTAGCCAGCGTAGAGCCAGTGTCGAGCCAGCGTCCAGCCAGCATCGAGCATCAAGTGCAAGACTGAATGTCAGTCAGCAGGGGCTGGGTCAACTTATAGTGTTTAGTCAAGGTTGACCAGCCTCTGGTCTCTCGGATACGACAGCCCATATTGACCCACAGTCATTGGCCTGGATCTCAAACAGTTGCAGATTCCCACTTCGACTGGATTCTTGACAGATACCTGCAAACAGTCAAATGTATGTGTCTGATCTGTGGCCTGGGCTGGGTCCGTGTTGACTTTGACTCGTGAGCCTGAATTTCCGAGCTGCTGTTGACTTCCCTTGGTCAACTGTCACACGTAGGGCCTCTGAAGCCCATTTTTGAGGCCTTGCTTCGGTACCCACAGTGGCCATCCTTTGTTCAGGCTGTTTCTTGACATGGGGTGTGGCCGCTGGCCCGTGATTCGGCCCTTTAGACCGAGGTGACGACCTGTGGTTTACAACTATACCGTGATACGAGCTGAGTGATTACAATACAGTCATTATGCCCATACAGTACACTGCAAGGAGGATTGTCTGTGGCCGTCTATGGGCACTCTCTTGGCAAGACGACCAGGGTTTCATTTTCACGCCAAAGTCGAACGCTACTCAAGGAGACCTCACGCACTACGCAAAAGGCTTAGACAGCAGTCCCACACCAGTCAAACATAATGCTCATGTCTCTCTTCTGCATCATTCCAATTTCAGTGTCGTACCTAAGGAGGAACCAGTGAGTTGATCTCAAGTGAACAACTCAAACAAGAATAGAGGACACAGAAATGAATGGAAGTTGCGACTTACTGCTGAGGGTGTGACATTACATATAATGGCAGTTTTGGCATTCCCTCCCAGTGCTGGTTGCAGAATACGAGTCAATGTGCTCTCCCTGTATGGAATGTGTACCCTGACCAAAGAACACAAGGCCGCAAATACCAGACTCACAAAGTGATCACCTTGAACAAGGAGACGAACAACAATGCTCAAGAACAAAGTCATACACTCAACGGCATACACATTATCAAGAAAAATAAATCAATGCTGATTGCAATCCACTCAACCATATGTACTACATACAACACGCTGTGCTGTACACGGTGCAATGCACAAGAAGCTCTTCTAAGGACAAGGGGGGGAAACAGAAGTCGGGAAGGTTGTAAAAATGTCAGTTCTCTGAGTTTGCCTATTCACAGATACAGTTTTTAAAGTTTAAAAACTCTAATAACTTTAAATCACCCAAAAAAAAAGAAGCCCGAAACCCGCATTCTGGATGTAGCCTCAGCCAAATGTTGGTTGAGAATTATATTTTGACTTCACAAAACATTTTTGGGCAGTTCCGTTTGCATGGGGACTAGGAGTCCACATGCAGCCAACGCACCATAAAAGTGCAATAATACAGATCAGATCATCATGTGCTAAACGAGCACTTGCACACACACAATATAATCAGCCAAGTGTGTGGCCTAGTATAATACGAAGTATTATTATAAACTAATCACTTTTGCACGAAAACAGTAAAACTTGCAAACTATAGTAGAAATTACTAGAAATACAACAAAACTTTATTAGAAATCAGCATACGTGAAACTATCACAGATCAGACGAAAACAGTACATGATTCTTGGCATATAGATTAAAGACGGACTTCAGTTACACTCTGCAAAACCTAAGGGAGTGCCATATGCATACGGCTGCAGCTGCACCTTTTCATTGGATATAGAGAGGAGAGGGGAGAAAGGGAGGACAGAAGCAAAAAACTAGAGGGAAAAACGCAGCGTACTTCCTTGATGAGCAAATTTACTGATACACAGTGGGAAAAACAGTCCATTTCCATACATTGGATTTAATTTGGAAGTTTCCAACCTCCACGGAATTAACTGTACAGACAACCATGCACAGTCCTCAGCAGAATTGTGCGCAAAATACGCCAACAACAAGAGGTGGACAGCGGCAGCAAACGAATAGACTTTTGGGAAGTTTTGGGGTAGTTGCATTGTTGCACCCCCCGACGGTCGGCGGCCCTTGACTGGTCGGCTGCCGACCCGCCGACCGATCGGCCGGTCAGCACCTACCGGTCGGGGGTCGTTGGCACCCCGTCAAAAAAAAA